TGACAGCTGAGCCAGCTGGTGGGATGGAAGTCAGTCATGGGCCCACAGCATGACAAGAGAACAAGATGGAAAAACAAAGGGAGGCAGAAAGAAAGAAAGCCTTGAAGAAAACCAGAAAGGGAATATGCATTACAGGAAAGGTGCAGGGGCCTGTGGTAATGGCAGCCCTTTACAGACGCCTTTCCTTAGGGAAAACTGCTCTCCCTCCATGTTCGGACGGGAGAGGGATGCAAGCACTGGGCTTCAGGCCTTCCGTAGCAGTGTCTGAATCACTGCCCAAGTGCCTTCAGGTCTTCCAGGTCAAGCTATGAGGGGTCACTCTGAGGCCCATGAGAGGCCCTAAGACCCCTAGTACCTGTGTGGGTGCCCTCAGAGGACACTGGGCCCCTGCTCGCCTCCAGAGTCACGGGGGACTTGCTACTGGCTGGTTTGGACTCCTCAGACAGCTGTGTCTCTTGAGCCTTGTGGGTCTGAATCAGCTCTGGTTGCGTTACCCTGATCACCTAAAAAGAGAAGCCAGGCTCAGAAGAGAAGGCAGCCCCGCCTCTACCGCGGAGAGCTAGGGCCGTGGCTCTCCCGACTCCCTCACAGGAAATACAAGTCAAACCCAAACCTCCTTTTAGAAACTACTTTCCTTCCCCACCGCAGGCCCCCCTTTCCCAAAAAGGGCTCAAAGGAGAGGAGTGGTTAGTTGAAGCCCAGATCCATGATGATTTGGGAATCATAGACAGATGCCCCAGTGAGGGGAAGGAGAAAATGGCTGGGCAGGGACCGGGCAGGAAAGTACCCACCTGCTGCAGGGCCTCCAGTATTATCTGACGGTTCACCTTGAGGACATGCAGCCTGGCCTCATACTTGATCCTGCGGTCGGGCACCACCGCCATCAGGTTGAAGCGGATGTCATGGTAGGGCTCCCTGCAGTCACAGCTGCAGCTGTGAGAGCAGCTCCCACCCCAGCCCACCATTGAGGCAGATATCCTGGCAGGGCTCCCTGAAGTCACACCTGCAGCCATGGGTATAGGCCCCACCCCAACAGATAGGCAGCAGCTGACCATGCATACCAGGCACCTGAGCTGGTGCCTTCCAACAAGCGGTATGAGAGGCCTGGCAGGAAGTGAGCCAGCATACCTGGACCCCCTAGGGCTCCAAGTCCTGCCCCTTCCCAAACCAGGCCATAGAGCAATGAGTTGGAGCCCAAGATTCAAGCCAGATCCTGCCAGATTCACCATGGAACAAATCACCTGGCTTCTCTGCCTTGGTTCCCTTTTCTGTGCCCCTCCCAATGAGGGCACAGCTCCAGAGGGTAGGGCAGGCACAGGACCCTTACCCTGCAGTGGCGAGGCCGATACGCTCCATGATGACCCGCCGGGCCTTGTCTGTCCATTCCTCATCCTCACCCCAGGGCCCTAAGGAACACGAAGACAAGGAGTCAGCAGGTGGGAAGCCCAGAGTTTGGGCAAGCCAAGAATGGGAGGGAGGATGGAGAGTAGTTGAGTCAGGGAGTCAGGGGCTAATCAGGCAATGCAGTGCAGGGTGTCATGTGGCCAAAGCCAGATGTCCTGAATACCCACCCCCCCAACCCCCTACTGAGTCCCAAGCACCTGACAACCCTGGACCCCAACTCCTTAAGAGTTAAGCAGAGAAACCCAAAGGGCCCCCAGCTCAGAGTGCTTACCATGGTCAATGGGGTAGACCTTGAGCCCATCCAGTTCAAAAAGCCGGCCTGTGATAGGCACATAGCTGACAAAGTGGAATGCCTCCATGGTCCGCACTGCACTAAGGCCGTTCTGCTTCTCAGGGAGGTGGCGTGGCTCGGGCCTGGGGAAGGACACAGTCAGGGCCCCGAATGGGAGAGCCTTCCTTACCTCCACCCCCAACAGCTCCCACAGCTCCCACACACCTGGCATGGCTATTATGTGCCTTGGCCAACTCCGGGGCATTGCCAATCGCATATCCTTTGCTCTAGAGGGAAGAAAATGAGACCACATCAGAACAGCTTCTCAGCTGAGCCTCTGGAAGGAAACCAGAGCTTACATGTGCAGGCCTGGAGGTGTTCCAGTCAGCTGAAGAAGCACAGATAGACTCTCCCAAGGGCAGAAGAGAGCTCTGGAGCCCCCAGTAGATGGGCTCTAATGGCCTTGCACAGTAATAAGCGGACACTGGGAGCAATGTGGCCTGCAAAATGCCAACAAAGTCCTAAAATGGTGTCACTTAAGCAATGCTCCTTTCTTCCCTAGGTTTGTCTCCTTTCCTGACAATTGGGCCTAAAATCAACTGCCTTCCACAATTAAGAGTCAAATGTAATGTAAATGATGTGAAAAATAAAAAGCCTCACAGTGCCATATAGTGGCATTGCCAGCGGCCCTGGAGGTCAGATGTGTTCCACCAGCCGTGAGCCAGGATTAAGGCACTATGGCATACCTCAGGGCTGAAGCCTTTGGTGAAGTCCTTCATGCGACTCAGGGTGGGCCCCAGGTCCACATTGCTGCAGTTCAGGAGCACGCTCAGCAGGGCATGAGTCGCACAAGAGTTGGGGATCAGCTGTGAAACCAAGAACAGTCACTCATGCACAGCATCCCTCAATTGAAGCCCACATTCATCAGGAATGGGAACCCAGAGAGGGACAGTCGTATCTGGACAACAACCCTCATCTTTGCCCAATGTTTGTTCACTTAACTAAATACCCATCAGGTGTCTGGGGACATGGAAAGTAGATTCCAATCCCACCCTGCTCTAAAGAGGCTCCCTTTTTTAATGAATAAGAGCTCAGTGCCTTCTGCCAAGGGACTTCTATAACCACCACCCTTAGTATCTGCCTATCTCTTCCTCCTGCCTTCTCCCACTTCCCAAGCAAAGACAATAGCAGCATCCCACCCTCCAGACAGAACACAGAGCCCAGCACACCTGGTGGGCAAAAAACATATTATTCACAATATCGTCATCAATCACAGATGTATCATCCACCAAGGTAGAGACCTTGCGACGGGATCGGCGCTCTTCGATCCATTTGAACAGGAAAATGAATCCATACACGGGGCTGGGGAAAGTAAGGAGCAGAGCTAAACCAGCCAAGTTGGGGGAGGAAACCAGTACCACCCCCCCTTTTTCTCTCCCCCTGTTCCCCTGCACCGTGTTCTCGCTCAGGTGCCCTTCCTGCAACCCCGCCTTTCTCCTGGCTCTCCCCAGCACTGCCCAACGTGGCCCTGAGCCCTCACACCCCAGAGCCCCGCCACAGGCAGGCTAAGCTTCGGCTTCTGGCCGTGGTTCTCCAGGAGCCCACCAGTGTCCTCAGGAAGTTTATGGTTCTGGGATAAGAGAAGAAAAGCTGGAGCCAAAGGCCCAGGGCAGGGTAGGAAGAGAAGTTAAGGTGAGAACAAAAACTCTGATGAGGAACTGAAACACTAATTCTCACTGGCGAAGCCCAAGGCCTGAGTCCAATGCAGACATGGAAGAAAACATGAGCCCCTCCTTTGCGGGGAAATACAAGCAGGCTTCTCAATTCAGTCACCACAGCAGCTCCTCCACGCCAAAACGAGACCCTGAGGTTGGTCACCAGGAGGGCCTCGCAGGTGCCAACCAATCTATACAATGGCCTTGGGTGGAGATGAAAGGCACCGGCACACCGGGCACATTAAAGCTGTCGTTAATAACGACAGCTGCTCATCAACTAAAGGACTTCTATGCAAGCCTATAGGCCTAACCAATGGACACAGACAACAGGGGGGTGAGGGCATGAGGGTGGGGGGCTGGGGGGTAAGGTGGGGATAAGGACACATATGTAATAACCTAATAAAATTTTAAAAATAATAATAATAATGACAGCTGCTCAAAAGGCAGGTGTGATCTGGGTCTAGAGAAGGGCCTGGTTTCCTGCTCCAGACCAGAAAAAGCAGCTCAACTGTATTCCAAAGGATGGCTGGAATTTTTACCGACTGGGGGAGGTGCCACTGCGTAAAGGGAAGTGATGAGGGGAGACGGGAGAAAACAAAAACACCAGCTTGATCGGGAGGGCACCCCAAGAGGAGGGTTGCTTCCTTAGGTTAGACTTTATAACGTGGGGTTCCGGTCACCACCCGCCTTGAGGGACACCTCTAGGCCTCGAGGCGTGAAAGGCGGTCCTGCCGCCAAGCCACTCACCCCTGGCACTTGCTCTGAAGGTCATAGATCTCCTCCACTTGCACCCCTTTGACACCTGCGGTCAGGGAAGAAAAGAAGTCGGGAAGGGCAGCTCCGGGCCATGCAGCGAGGGCGGGAGAGTGGGTCCCCACAGCCGGGGTCCGGCGGGTAGGAGAGGCTCTTACCGAAATCTTCCACCAGGAGGGTGAAGAGGCCTGGTGGGGCGACAAATGGTGGTGAGGCAGGCGCCTCTCTGGGGGGACCTCCCCAGCCCCCCACACCCCGGCCAGC